ATATATATAGTTTGAAATATATATTCATATACAATATATAGTTTGTAAATATATATTCATATACAATATATATAGTTTGTAAATGAGCAAAGTTATGTTTTAAGAAAATGTAATAGTTAAACATCATTTATTGATGAACTATTCAATTTCGGAAATTAGCTAGGTAAGCTTTCCAAGAAATTCAGCTTGATGTCATAAGCTTGTTGGTTACGCATCTGATCTCTTTATTTAGATAGTAACTTGAAACTGATCTATTGATGAAAGGAAGCAAAAAGAGAAGATTATGAACAGAAATCATACTCATTGACTTCTAGAAAAGTTTTTACAACTTGGTTAGATTGTTCATTAATCCAGCCCTGTAGATACATATGCACACGCACACACACACACACACACACATAATCATGCATAGATACATAGACGTGCAAGTTTCTTAAATTTCTTTATTGTGTGTCAAAGATAACAATATTGTCTCAGTATAGCCCTACATGTGAGAATTTACGAAAATTATATTAGTAGGTTGAATTATAGATTCTTGTTGGTTTTCAATGCCTCCGATTTTTGGCGTCTAAACCGTAATTTTTAAACTTTTTTTATTATTACTTATTAGGTTAAACATTGCGTACATTTCTCTTACTCTGTCCATTAGTAAATTCAAATCAGAGATGTATAAAAAATAACATTTCATATCTATCTTTTGTCTTCAACAAGTCACTGCTGAGAAAATTTTCTAAAGTTTTACGCATACAAATAGTGTTTGCGATAAACCTACACTCTCCAACCTTATTTAAAAGTTCTTGTATACTAAACGAATAGTTTCCTGGACAGTGACTTGTCGGAGATAAACACAGATATGAAACGATATTTATTATACATCTGTGACTTGAAATCCTTAATGGACAAAATTCAAAGGAATATAAAAATATGTTGTAGTTTATCGTGATTTTATCACAAATATTAACTTTCTTTAGTTCACAATACGTTGTCAGATTTTAAATGCAATAATGGTTGTTATTTTCAATATGATAAATGTTTTCTGTCGTGTAACACATGTTACATTAACAGATATCACGCTTATTGAATTACTAATATTATAGTAACTTCGATTTATATATTTTGGTGAAGCAGTATTAATTTATTTGTATTTCATTTAAGCAAGTAAGCTACTAACTACTAGTTGAATTGATTTTAGAGGTTGGAAAAAATTGTGCTCTAGCCTGAAGCTGCAGGAGAAAAAATGTTAATAATTGCATAAGACTGAGTCAGAGATTGTTCATTGTATATTTTTGTTCATGATGTTTTAATTGTTCCCTTTTTAACTCCCCCCCCCCCATTTATCTTGTAAAGTGAAATTAAGTTCGAGATAATAGCAGAAAATATTTTTTATTCAAACCTTAAATTCAGTTTTTTACAAGCTCGCTGTTATGTCTGTGTGTTACGTCTCATTATTTCTTTTTAGTGTTAGGTTTACAACTTAACGTCTTACACATACTGTTCAAAACGGATGTTTAGGCACTGAAATGACGAGATTAATAAAAACGCAGAAAAAAACGAGAGAAAATTAGAGAGAATAAGAAAGAGGTAGACAGATACGATGAATAGAATAAAAAATGAGATACGAGACAGATAATAGAGAGAACGAAAATGAGAAGAAAAAAGCAAAGGAAATTAAGTAAGTAATGAACACGCTAAAAAGATAACAAAAACGAAAAGAAGAGAAACTTATGAAGATCAAGATGAGTTCTCAGTAAATGTTATTCATGTTTGTAAACTACATGCCGAGGATAGTATAGATACCACGTCAACGTTAACCTGCATCATTCAAAATGTTCACTAATCATGCAGCAGTAGGTTGAATACACAGTACATTTTCATGTATGTCGCTTTTAATCTTAAATTCTGAATTTTAATGTTCATAGAAAGTACTTTATTAAATTCAGATCCGAACAGGAAATAAAACTGTATGTCTCCCGCTTCTCCTGTGTAAAAAATAATGTTATGAAAATTGATTTGTAAAATAGTTTTAAGGAAACTTTCAGACAAATCTTTACTAAACTAGCAGACGTTATAGTTTATTAATACACTGTGAACCACACTTTCTTCCAACAAATACAGTGTATATGTTAAGTATTGTGAAAATATCTGTTACTGTTTCCGACAAAATTTTTAGACACGATTTAAAATCCTCTAAATAAATGATAGATATAATAAGTATGTTTTGTCTTACCAGTTTCATACGGATATGTTAACATTAAAGTTAAATACATCCTTGTGATAGTTTGGTATCATGTACTTCCCCATACAATAAATTAAGTCATAAAAGTTTTCAAAATATTTGCTTTTCTGTTGGCATGTTACATTCCTAAGATGACAGGTACAATCCACCTGCAAACATCACTTTAACTGTGTCATCTCTAAAACCAATATTACACTGTATTTGGTACAGGCAAACTAAGCAGGGTTTATGAGAGATCGCTAAAAGAAATAAAAAATAGCTGACGGGATATTTTGGTTCAAATATTACATAACAGGAAAACCAACGCAGACGAGTTGAAACCTATAGAAATAAGATCTGCCCTTGTGACACTGTACATAATAAATAAACTTAGTATTCCAACATAACATAACCAATACAAGTGAAGTTGCAAAGTTGATATAAAGATGTATAAAGTCGTACATCAATGTCAGTGCATTGTCGTTCTAGAATGTATCTTATGTATATTGCGAACCGTGGTGTCTGTCCGAGCGTTCGTTTGTCACCAGTTTGAAAAGCTTTGCACGCAAGCCAAGCTCAAGACTCACTTTTGAAATAACGGGAGAATAGGCATGAATAATGTTGATGCCAACTTTTATTTCGCAATCAGGATATTCTACACTAAATCTTAGGAATTATTCACACTATCATTTACATTTCAAAAATGAGACGTAACTTAAAGAATAATAATGTAGATTTACCGTATGTTATTGTTGAATGACTCTTAGCATTACTGAAATGCTCAAAAATTATGTTTCGTGGGGGGGGGGGTACAAGTAGCTAAAAGCTTTGGCTCTGAGTAAACCCAAGAGTGTGACACAATTAATCTTTTTAAATACCATGCAATAATTTAACTTGACAGATTAACTTAAACTTTTCCGTCACTGGGGACGGGTACTTTTGCTTGTAAGCATATATCACAGCAAAATGAAATCAAGGTATTTTGTATTCTTTTATGACGGATTTATTATTATAAATTTATTTTAGTATCGATGATTGTTTAAATTAAATTTATATTTAGAAATGCACATAACTTATAGTGTTAAATATGTATTGCAAAACTCCCGCTTATTCTCTAAAGTTGTAGAAGATTCTCGAGTTTAAGAATCAACAATGTATCTATGTACGTATACGCTTGTGTTAGCGTCAGTATTGTTACGTAAACTGAAGTTTCGAGAAACTCTCCACACGTTTATATATATAACCAACGCGACGCGCCTAAAACAAACAGTATATATTATTGGATTGCTGTAATTGGTATGCTATAAAATTCGTAAGCTATAACTGTGATTAACGCTTATTAATCGGGAACTTCAGATATGTTGACCAGGGACGTTTATAAATTTCGAACATTACAAATCATTTAACTTCAGTGGATTCACATAGGACATTAGTACTTTTACGAAACATTACCTAACGTTATCGGTAGGAAAATCGTCGTGTGATCAGTGAAGACCACAGAGCTAGATAGCTCCCTATTAAGTGAATTGTGCTTACTTCAACTCAAAACCAACTTGCTCATCGTGAACCCTCGATAAGATATCAAGAAAGTTCCAGAGTAGAAAAAAGACTTTATTGCTTGTAAGTTTGTAAAACACATGTATATAAATCATTGTTTGTAATAAATATTTGTAACACCCTTATTGTAAATTGTATTATTGTTTGTATGTCGAAACATATTTGTATAAAACAAAGAAAACTGTGTGTATCAATCTTGTTGGCAAATATCATAAATTGGACAGATATCGACTTTTACTTAACTACTAAATCCAAAGAGCAATTTAACTCAATTTCAGACCATTCGAAATTTTAATACATAACAGTTTACAGCTATCGTTAGTAATATTTTATTGTCTCAGTATAGCCCTACATGTGAGAATTTACGAAAATTATTGACTATTTATTCCACGCATTTATCTAGCATAAATAAGATTGGAAGATGTTATTAAAGTTTACACTAGGTGGCAAACACATGTTTTAACTGGGAATGTGAAATTTTATATAACAAAACACAATTTTTTAACTGTTACATTTTTCTCTTCTTAATATATCTCAATCATAAATTAAAAAGTTTCATAAATAGAACAGTGTTCAAAGAGATAGTCTTTGATACTGTAACTCAGCCTAGTATCTTTAGAATATATGAATTTGAATAAGAGTTCTATTTCTAATCAAGGTTATCCAATCAAATATTGCATTGATGATACTGGAGTTCCAAAAGAGTAGTTTTTATTTGAACATAAATATATGACAAGAACAATATTACAATAATAAACTAGTCTAACAGTCTCTACTTTTGGAATATAACCATACAAAAATGTATGAAAACTTTTTCAGTCATGCTCTAAATCACGTTGTTCGTGGACAATACTTGTTTTATTTTGTAATAGTTCCTAGTTGTTGTTGTTAATGTTTTGTAATAGGGTCGCCTATCTTTTATGTCTTGTTAATTATGATTTGATCTTCACTGATCACTGCTCGGGGTAGATTGTTTTTTTTGTTTTTTACTGTCATCCCAAAAATGGAAGTTTCTTTAAAAAAAAACCGAGTTTACGCTTATCCTCCAAATAGTTGTAAAAGAACCAATCCACAAAACGCCTGCTCAGGTCTTTTTTTTCTCTTTTTTTTTGTTTCATTATCGAGTAGATTCTTTAGAATGATACAGTGTGCGCATGTCCCTCGTGTATCTATTTGAGGAACTTTCAACGCGTTGATCTCAGGCGTCACAGTCACGTTACAGCGTGGCTGCAACAATCACAGAACTTCATCCTTTGTTTAGATCAAAATTTAAAGAAATATTATTTTTTAAACTCGGTTAGATTTAGATAAATAGTTTAGAATAGCTTACTGACAATTTAAAGTAACAATTTCAACCAAATGACGTTACAAAAGTCGTAGAATGCAACATTAAAAACTGGATTCACAGAGCTGGGGCACCTCAATCACCGGGATTCTTATTCCATTGATAACTTCGTCTCCTGAGCCGGAATTTTCTAAGTTCAATGAGAAGAAGATAAAGAGGTAAGACTAAATGATAATCAATATCCTAGGACTGCTCAGACATGAAGTAGGCGCAATTACTTTGTCAGCTGTAGCTGTTCAACTCGAGAATACGTTTTTATTTCTTTTTCCTTAGGCGAGAAAAATAGTTATAGTATAGTACGACAGTGCAAATGTAAAGTGATTCCTGAAGAGACGTGTAATTTTAGAAATCATCGTTAAAGAGAGAAGAAATATTAAATTTGGTTCTTTATATTTATTATACTGGTTCTAGAACCTTGTGCTATTGAGAATTTTATGAATTCTCGAACGTTCTCGAAAATTGTGTTTTCATTATTTATCTTAAAATATAATTTTCCTGTTTCTAGCCCTAATGCTGCTTGCCACTTTATTGGGTTTCCGAGCGTACAAACGGAAAGAAATGTAAATTTTTATTGTTTTTCTTGGAATTAATTATTTATTATTTTACAATCCAAGTTAGCTAGAAAATCCTTTAATTTCAATAGATCGGTTTTTTTTCACGATCAGAAGTCTTGTAATATTCTCATCCCAGTGCTATTACTAT